CTCTTGTCCACCACATGGAAGTACTACTAGCTCTCTCACGTTGGGACTTGCACGGACCCTATTTCCATTAGTAGATAAATGCTTGATGCCGTAATAAAACCGTAAAAAAAAAACCAATGGTAATGGGACCCTAAAACCTTTGCATAGTGAGTGAGCTCTCTTGCTTTCCGATCATCAGAGATTCTTGGCTAAAAAACGAAACTCATTCCCCCTCACTCCATCCGAAAACTGTCATCTTTGGCAGCAGATGTTGGGATATATTGCGGCGCCTGGCACAAAGGGGTTTGTTAGACACACACTAGGAGGAGTAGTCTATCTCTGGGACGCTAAAGCGGCACCGTCTCCACCAAAAGGCTCACTTCGTATTCCCAATATTTTCAGACCAATTTGTGGGGCTCTTTTAATGAATTTGGAGCTTAGACTTGGACCTTAGACCTTGATTCCAATTAAAGGTCAGTAGCGGGAAGGCAGCAGCAGGGGGGTCAACTGTATTCAGGCGCAATAGAAAAACCCCATGAATTGAATGCTCCAGGGTCAACATCTTGGGTAAATTTTACTTCGCGTGGCGTATCTAGACATGATGGAGGCAAAAGGCAAGGTTGTGCGCTGGTGGGCTATTTGTGGCCCTGTTAATTGGATTCTGCCCGCTTTGGAGCTGGATAACGATGTGGCAAGGCCACAATAGCAACGCCAGAAAAGTACCGTAGGGTGCCAGTGCTGGTGGTCTGTGGCCCAACAGCTCCCCACTGCGCCCAGATTTTCAGACCGACCAATCCAGCTCCGAAGGTGCCGCTCCGGCTCTCCCTCTGCAGCCTGTAGAAACTGCGCTTTTTAATACGCTAATTGTGTATTATAATAATACTACTACTTTCGGTTCCATGTTTAGCTGCAAAGCCGTCTTGCCCTCGAGGATTACTCACCTGCAAATGGGGAGTAGTCGTAGTAGTAAAGGCGGCGTTACCGCGACAGTGAAAAAACACTAACATGGATCCTGTTGGTGGTCAGGGAAGTTTGGGTCCGAGTTAATGAACTGTTCGAGATGATGGATTAATCTCGACAGATTGAGAAATAGGAGGTGTCTGCACTGTTTGAAATGGTTGTGGCTTCGTAAATGTCTCATCTTGTCAACGTCTCTAATTTAAAATTTATTGCAAATGTTGAGAATGCGGCAGTAAGAATGCAAGACAGACTGATATGTATAATCGCACGAATGTATTCATACACAGGTTCCGTGGTCCAATTCATGCGTTGAAATCAATGACAGTCACTCCAGGACCACGGCTAGGAGAGATAACTGATGTTTGTATCCTACTACTTTGTATTATTTATTTATCCCTCCAAGCTTACTGCTTCAAGGGATCTTCATTTTAGCTAGCTAGCTAGTCGGAGGATAGAAACAATGGAGGAAAGGAAAAAAGAAAAAGAACCAAAACCAGTCAGGAATGATTTGTACAGTGACAAGTTGCACAGTACCGATTTCCTATCTTAAAATTTGATAAGTCTTCAGCGGCAGGCCCAACAAGAGTGACATGTCCCCTACAGTTTATAAAACTATTTGTGCTTTCTACTTCACATGATTGTCTTACGCAGTAGTGCTGCAGACTCGCGTATTGAAACTAACAAAGGATGAATGCTATTCTCGGAAGATCACAAAACCAAAACTCACATAGAATGATACAAACATATCATAAGAACGGGGATTACTGGGCCAGTAATTCTTCGAAAGAGAGGTGGGGACCTCGAAATCACAAGCCTGGGCCAGGGAATTGATTTAATACCACCTCGAAGAGTGCAACCTGGAGAGGAAGCAGCAAGTGAGTTTCGTATGCACGAAAAGTAAAGCAAGACGCACGGAAGTGACCTCAGATCTCTCCCTCTTTCCGGGCTTGCCAGAGTGTGGCTTAATCGCTGTCGGTCTTATAATGGAATCATGCAACCAATTTCCTCTCCACGTGGCCTGCGGTTCAGCAGCAAGCAAAATCCTTTGATATTGCTTGTCTCTTGGAGCTTTCCTTTCCCGCCCTGTGATTCTTTATCTTTCCATCATCAACGAAGCCTACTGAGCTCATTGGAAGGCTATCATGAGCTTGGAATTTTTTACATCAATTATCAGCTTGTTTTCTGGTAGCTGCAAAGCCAAAAGGAGTACCCCTAGTGTGCATATTCCATGTCTGTACTATCAGTACCCAGAAGTTTATGATTGGGCACCACTAGTTGTTTGCTAGGTGTTGGTGACTTAGGTGCTAAAGTGGCTCCCGTAGAATCGCTAATTATGTTGTTAAAGCTTCAGGAAAGTTGCTTAACTTGTGCGATGGCTTCAAATGTGAAGCACAAGTGGGCTATCGAATATATATATATATATATATATATATATATGTATATTATCTCCATCTACTTTTGTTTTCATTCATAGGTCTTCATTGTAACTCTATGGTGTTAATGCATGATAAGTTCATTTCATAAATATAAGATGTGTAAATCTGAGTCTAAATGCAGACCCCATTCGAATGTCTGTGGTGTGTTTCTATATATATATATATATATATATATATATGTATATATATTATTTATTTCGTACCCTGGGTGCTAATATAAACAACCTCCAAGAGTTGGTTGAGACATGCCACCTGTGTGTTGTAGTTTGAATGTACAAATTCATTATCACATCTACTGTTACATTATCCATACATCGCATTCATCATCCTTTTACATTGCATGTTTTTTCTTCCTCTTTTCCCCTTCTTTCTATAACTATTGTTTTTCTTGCGATACAGATGGGGTGCAGACGAGATTTAATTTAGGCTTCTAATCGGAAACTTTGAGAAAGTAAAATCGATAAAATAAAATAAATAAATAAATACATCAATCAATCAATAAAACTTCAGAAAATTGGGCGGAGCAATTTTCAGTCTTGTGACATAACTACCTGTGGGGGATCCTGTAGACACACACTTCAAGGGCCATCTTGTGACATATACGAACTCCTTACGAGCCTCTTAATTCTTATCCATACTGAACACCTTCCAGTGGATAATGCAGTGGCTGTTGGATGAAACCTCGTGCGCCCATCCACCAACACCAAACATTAGGAAAACTTTAACTTGACTTCGTTTTTTCAACAAATACGACCAAAGACGAAGAAGAAAAAACGAAGACAGAAGTATGAGAGAATACCAACTTGTCAATCTGTATGGATTAAGCGACGACTGTGTTAAATACCTATCCACAATACAAGGGCGCTTTGTTTGCATAAATTTGCAGTGGTACACCAAATTAAGAAGAGAGAGTTAAATTAGGCCAAACTGAGTACAAGGTGAATCATCATTCGAACTTGGCAGCAGGTGGGCGGCTAGGCGGCAGAGTTTGTCAGAGAGTGGTCCTTGCCAACTTGAGCTACCAAATAAAGCCTCCGTCTCAGAACTGTCACCTGTTCAGCACCGCTCATGTTGGGCTCAGCATATGGAGCTCATTATGCAACATTATTTCATGCTTGTTTGCTGAAGTGACGTAAATGGTAATACAAAACGTACCTTATTTAGATTTATTTTCAAATACCGTAACTTATCTACCACAACACGAATAATCGTTACTTTTAAAACAAATTTGTTATTTCCGTTTGCTATCAAAAATATATTTTCAATGTAGTTGCTCGTTCCTTCTGCGGACAGTTTTGGTAAATATAGACTTGTATCATGCATGACGAACGAAGGCTTCATGACCAATGGCATAAACTGTTTGTGCGATTATTTCATTTGTTTGTTTTTCACACAGAACTCTGAGTCGCTGTCTCCGTTTTCTATTTTAACAGTTCACACCTATCGTGTAGAATAATAGAACTAATATTTATTAAATTAATCAATTAAGCTAATAAGATATCCTCGAAAATTAGACCCTACATGGATCAATTATTCAATTTCAAAAGGCAGTTGATTTTAGAATTTGTTTATGACACATGTGAGAAACAGTTCAACATTGCATTTCATTCAAATTTTGTTTTGTAACACCTCTATCCATTGCATGGATATGAGCAGAATTCAACCTTGTACAATTTCTCAAGAAACATAGCGCGAACACCTTCCTCAAAATCTGGTGACAATGTAGGGTCTTTGGTTCCCTAAGAAAAGAGAAGAAGAATAAGATTAGGAAAAAAAAAAAAGTGTACTCACTGACCAGAGGTGTGGTAAGTTACAGTAACGATGGATATTAGGCGTACATCAGAGCAATGTAGGTAAGATGAGGAGGACAGCATCAACTATCTCAAGAGCCATTAGTTCTGCCGTAGTCAAAACTGTTTTCAAAAGTTCTGTTCAAAGTTGCAGATCTTTGAATCATGACTTGATTGGTAAACTCCAGAGTCCATCTGGCAATATGGTCCGGCACCTCAAAAGGAAATATCACAACAGAGCATTGCCTGGAGAATGGCTTCCGTACCTAACACTGCATTTATCTCGCGCACAGGTTTTTACACTAGCAGCGAACAAGCTAGCTATCTCATGGAGAACTGCACACACGGGTGCAGAGTTGTTCAGTTGTTACTGTGGTGATACTCGAATATTAACATATCGTAGCCAGATCCACGAAAATCGTTACTTAATGATGGAATGATCATGCGACAAGAATAATGGTTGATTGTAAATCAGTTAATCATACGCATCTAGTTCAGGAGCATACATTAAATCTTCTGACACGGGGGAACGTAGGAAGGTATGAATTAATTAGTTCAAGGAAATCAAAAGCATCTGTATCTCATAAAGAAAGAAAGTCTGCAATTGTCCAAAGATGTAACAGCTTATCGTTCTTTAGAATGAAATTCGTAGTTTTTTTTTTTTTTTTTTAATGGGATGAAGTAATTGGAGAGAGAGTGTGGGTAAGAGTTCACAAAAGATTTTGCTCTTTTTCTTTTGTCACACTGAACAACAAAAACGAGGCCCATCAATAATGACTATAAGGGGAAACAAACAAAGTGAGGAACTTGCAGGTTGGATGGTCCAGGTACAGTAACCTAGAGTAGAGTGAAGAATGAAATAACAGACATACCTAGGGCCAGTGCCCATGCACCATACCCCTACACCGAGAGCTCACGATTCTCCGCAAAAGATGTGATTTTTCCTAGTGGAGGCATCTTGTCCCGACTTCCATTAAAACCACTTCTTCCTCCATTACCAACCAATTGCTTTTGTTGTCCCTGGTCCTTCCCACCCCTCCCTGCTTCCCTCCTAACGCGAGCCTATCTGGGCATTTAAGATACTAAAGCCACTGCCCTCTTATCTTAGTTCATTAAACTTGCGCGTGCAGGTGTTGTCTAGACTACGTATGTGCAAATTTAGTTTGCGACTGTCGGAAGCAGGGCCGCTGTGGTGAGAATGTTAAGTGATCATCCGCATTGACAACGTGTGGCGAGTTTCACGGTTGAGGGGTGTGATTGCATTGAAGGGAAGATCAGTTGGAGAAGTGCAGGATGAGTCCGTCGACATCTGTGTGCCGCACTGTCACTCAGGCTGAGAGGGATTTGGTTGGGAAGGCGGTGCCTCTGATGAAGGACGCAGGATTTCAGTTTGGGGTCCGGAAGCAGGAGAATGGCAGTGGCTCGCCGTTGAAAGTGAGTAAGGATTCCCACCGGATCAGGAAGCCACCCTTGCCGCTCCCCCAGGTGCAGTACCGTCCTCCGATTATCATTCATACGTACTCGCCCAAGGTGATTCACACGCAGCCGGACGATTTCATGTCGCTGGTGCAGAAGCTCACGGGCTCCAGTGATACAAGGTTGCGATTGAAGAAGTCTCCGAAGAAGGAGAAGTCCGCGGACCGCAAGGACCAGACACCTGCATCGAACAGCGGTGTTCAGGCCGCAGCTGCTTTAATTCTTGAGCGCCAAGGTCAGTACTAGCTCTGTCACGCTGTGTTTCATTCAAACCAATCTAATCTAGCTAGTGACTTATCGCTCGTAAACGGTGCTTTTTCACTGACCTTTTCGTTCCCTCTGCGCGCAATTTTCAGGCTCAGGGTCATCTTCGACGACCAACTGTGGCTCGCCCTCTCTCTCTGTCGACTCCGCGTTTCTAGTCACCGATTCTTGCGACGGTGAAGCAACAATCAATCAGTCGAACTCGCCTAGGAGCCCACTTGACTCACCCTTCGAGTTCGACAACGACCTGATGTTCACGCAGTTTGAATACCCTTCAACTCCTGGTAGCAGCATGTTCAATTCCCACAGTGTCAAGGCTGAGCCGATGCTCTCCTTTCCTGGTGACAATCATTTCAACTCCTTCGTTGATTTGATTGCACCGCAGAAGTCTTCGCCCCGACCTCAAATGCAACAGGAAGCGGACAACCCGTATGCCAACATTGATATCAACCCCCCTGTCTCATCATTAGGGTTCCTCCCCCCAAATCTTATGCCCAGTCTACCCGATTTCTCACCAAATACTTCAGCATGGTCTCAGTCTTTCCTTGACTTCCCCTCTAGTCCTGCACCTTCGGGTCACTTCGGGCTCCAGGCGCCGTATCAACGCCAACGCCCCCTCCAACAATTCTCCGCAGGGTACTCTCTCCCTATGGAAGGTAACATGGTGGCCCTGGAAAACATCCAGGCCTTCATGATGACATGATCTCAGAGTTGAATTCACAGTATTAGCGTGGGTTCGGAGGTTAGCGCTTTGTAACAGAGGTTTTAGTGCCGATGCCTCAACAATTTTGGTGGTATGTCCGGTGAGGAGTGTCTTTTCTCTTGCAGATAGGAAGCTGACGGACAAATTGTAGCTATTGACTCTAGAGTAGTGTACCATGTCTTTGAGGGGTATTCCGTCATCGACTTGTAGAGGTCTGTACATTGTAGGCACAGGATGCGAGGACACTAACCCAGCTTTGGCACTTGTAGATAGATGTCATGATTTCAGCGCGGAATGTTCAGCGTTGCAAGTAATGGGGATCAGACCAATGACAACTTACATAGATTCGACCGAGAGTGTAGAAGTTTACACAGATCTCAAATGTTTCATTATCATAGTAGAATTAGCTTCATCTCGACGCTGAGATGAGGAGACGTCCAAACAGAGATAGAGATAGAGAGGGAATGTAGAGAAGAACCTCGTGAAATGGCGGGTCAAATCTTGTGTTGTAACATAATCGTGTTCAGCATTGCAATTATAACGTGCTACTGACAGGATGTGCGCTTTTTTGCACGCGTATACTCATTCTCAAAATCTCCTAGTATCATTTTTTTGAACACGTTCATAGCATGTTTCATCGCTAGCCTTATGTTGCTGACAAATATGTTGTGAAAAAATTGGGCCCTGACATCATTCATCGGGAGATGGTTAGTGTTGAGGGCTATAATAACTTGAAAATCATGAGGCTATGTACTGGCAAAGAAACTTCATGTTTGGGGAGTTACTTGAGCTTTGAAGCCATATCCTTGCTATACTGGGCATAACATCCTCAACTTCTGAGGTTTGTCGCCATTTCTCCATATCAGGGAACATGTACAAATCTATTTTCACATCCGCATCCCTCGGTCTATATTGAGTGAGAAATTAAAATTTTGTAGTGACTCTCCCTTATGCTTCCAGATTTGCGTATTGGCACACATGTATTTGTTCGAGACATTCTTGTTTCATATCAAGCCTCTGGGTGCTGTGATTTGAAAGCATGATAACAAAGGAGTTGAGCTGGCTGAAACACAGGAATAGAACTCATTGGAGGGTTTTTGGTTTCTTATTTGTTACTAGTTGGGTTTGCCGAGGCACCTTTGAATGAACTCCTGCCACGCCATTCTATCCTTGAGACAGTCTGGTTGCTAAGTAGAAACGATCTATTACATTGATCGTATCCTTCTACATTGTCATTTTTCATCTTTTGTGAAATTTATACCCTAAATTACCACGGATCGTAGCCTCAAACTCCCTACAATCGAAGAACAGACTCTTCTCGTCGCCAATTGAATCCTCCTGAGTACTCTTGAGTTTGCCAATATTCAAAATGAACTTCAGGGAAAGATGACACATCGCAACCTTTGTGCATTTGAATATCTGATTAAGTGTAGAGGGATGATTCTCTTTTCAGTTCGTGTGGTAAAAGGTGTTGCTGCTTGGTTGGTGAGGGGTTTAGGCAGGGACGACGACACCACCGATGCGATTTTGCAATCAGCAGCCTCTTGTTTTCCGAAAAAAGAAAATAAAAAAGAAAATTACCACAGAAAGAAACCTTCTCTCATCATTTTCCTTTGCGCGGCAGTGCAGTTGTGGTGATCTGGGGCTATGATTGTTGTCAGTCCAATTGATGGGCCTGTATGTGGTGGAATAGCTAATAACGGCAACGTCGCACTGGAATAGGCGACAAAGCTTGCCGCCCAGCTACATGACTAGCTGCGTAGGTTGCATCTTTAGATCCGAGGGCACTCTAACATGGACTGCAGATAAAAACCGCGCTCTTTCCATGGGGTCATGGTAAACTATATCCAGAGGCGTGTGTCAGTTTCTAAAAGCACGGCAGCGCAACGAAACCCAAGCGTTTCATCCATCTCCACGAATCCAATACCTACCGCTACATCCAACTTTGCTGTACTTTCACCCTGGACGTTTGACTTTTGGTAACACGTATCATCACACACACATACGAACACATTTTATACTGTATTCTTTTGTTTCAGCTTTTCGTTCTCATTCCCTTGTTGGTAACGATTTCTACGAGTGACCTCTTGTGTGCTCAATAGGTTGTGGGTCAAGCCTACCTCTTAACTAACTTACTGAACATGGGTGATTCCAGGGCAGAATCTGATTTAATCACAGGTGAAGCGCACATGTTTTTCAAAATAAATTCTAAAATATTGAGCTTCACGTAAACCAATGCAAGTTGCGACTCTGCTATGATTGTGTGACGCAGCTCCAGATCCGCAGTTTAACATAATTGAAGAATGAGGCCATGCATTTTTGCAACAGGGAAAAAAAATTATTATTCAAAAAATTAGGTGAAAAATATTTATATGTTTACTTAAATAGGTAGGTGATTTTTAAATGATGATGGGCAAAAACCACATTTTTATTGAAAAACGCTCTAGAGTACTCCCTCCAAAGAGGAAACATTTTCACATAGTTGACCTTTGCCGAGGGTCTTCATTGTTTTCATGGGGCCGATGAGAGCAACCGCATTATACACTTTATGAGCTCACAACTTGGCACACCAGTAGAACAAGGAGTATTTGTAACTTCGATGGTTGCAGTCATGAATCAATAGTGCGCTGTAGCGATGGTAATTGTAGTGCCTCAAAAGTGATATATACTAGTTCTTTAAGCTAAGGAATGATGCGCATTGAAATTCCTTCTATTGCAGGTCCGACAGAGTTGGAAAAAACTGAGAATCACAACAGCTCTAGCTAAGTGTGGATCGCCACAAGAAACAAGGATGGGCGAGAAACAAGGAGCTCAGGAGAATTCGAGGAGACGTGACCCTTCCGATCGACGTCGATGAATCACGCCACCTCGTGTTCGTTCCCCACTTCGAGGACCGAGACCATGTGGGTATCCTGAACAGGAACACCGCTGAAGGTCGGACGGATCACAAGAGTATGAACATACACTCTTTTCAGGATTGGAAAGATGCGGAATGATTATCACCACCCTGAAAGCCCAGGGTAGCACGAGTCCACGCGCGAAACAGTGAAACACTGCGTCATCCACCGGCCAGCATGGCTAAGCTTACGAGTGAAGCACCCTGTCGTCGTGTCTTTCTCCGCGGCCTTGAGGAAGAAGAAACCTGGAGGATCGATCGATCAATCTATCAGGTGTAGGGAAGAGATCTAGAGTAGGGTAGATACGCCGATTGTGCCAAGGAATAGGTTCAGATCGGCGTTGGCGATGACGATCTCGTCGACGAGGTTGCATCATCGATCAGGTCTGAGTTCCGAGGCCAGGTGCTCAGATCTCCCATGGACTGGATGCGGTGTGCTCAGGCTTATTCCGTGAAGGCGACGTCGCCTCGCCGATCTAGATCTTGCGGATTGCGGTACCGCGTCTAGAAATTCCTCCCTCCCATGGCGCCGCGACTCATCTTCAATCGCCGAATTCGGTCCCTGTTTGTTGTTGCAGTGCACAGTGTTGTTGGCATTGTTTGTTTCCTGGCATTGTTAGTTAGTAAGTTTGTTTGATTATTCTTTGCTACGGTTCCTTTGTGGAAAGGGCTTCGCTCGTATCTTCGCCATTCTCTCTCCTCCTCTTTTTGTGGTTGCTGTTGTTGTTTTATTTAAATGTAACCATTTTTAATGTGATTCCGCACTGACGGTGTGCTGCTAGTTTTGGGTTCAGTGAGTCTTTCATGTTTGAGGTATTTCTTGTTAATTGTGCATCGTATTGTCACTGTGACGTAATAATTAAACGCGTCTTGTTTTTTTATTTATGTTATTTTATTTAAATAAAATTTAATGGTATCAAGGTTATATATATATATATATATATATATATATATATATGTAATTTCACTTTGAATGTAAACATGGTAGAATTTTAATTGCAGTTTTTTTTTTTTTTTGTTTTTTTTGTTTTTTGTTTTTTTTGTTTTGTGTGTGCGTTTGTCATATTCTTCTTCAAGTTAATTAATCTATTTAAAAAATAACCTTGATACCATTTGCAACAAATAATAATTGAACAAACTAAATCGTGGTATCAAGTTGATTTTAATTACTATAATAATTTGCAATCACTTTTTTGTATTGGTAGTAAAATGCCTTCAATGGTTGTATCTTTTGATAACAATGTGGCTAATTCAGTTAAGTTTAGTTGTTGCATTTGTACAACTACTTCTCCATTTTGGATAACATTTCCATAATAAAATTTCTTAGTATCAATTGTTTCAATGAAAAAATCATCACCTTACATTAGAATAACCTTAGTTAATTTTTTAATACTTTGTTATTGCATACCAAAATTGTTTATATTAATTATATCAATGCAACATTATAGAAAAATTGTATTCATATCAACTTTTCTAGAAACATGATTAGTAGGATTTACATTTGTTTTATTTTATTGTGTTCATTATGAATGGTTGTTGCTTTATACTTAATACTATGGACTATTAAATTTTGGAACACATCCTAGAATACTCTTAGTATTAATTATTTAGAATATTGTAGCATATAAAAATTTGTTTTGAGTTGCTATTATTATATTAAAATATATTATTTTTCTAATTACAATTGTACATCAAGAAATTAAAGAATTTCTTTAAGTTGTTGAATATTGAATCTGTGTTATTTTACTTTGGTTCAATAATCTTGAGAACTATTTTTTTTTTCTACTTAGTATTTATATTTTAAATATAGCTTTGTGAATTCTTATTATTTATTTCTTTTAATATTAGACTAATAAGTTTTTTTATCACTAATACAATTTAAATCTCATGTATATAATAAACTACAGACACTATTCTTTTTTCTTTAATGTAGTCAAAGGATCTCAATACTTATAAGTTAGAGTTTAATTTTACTTGTCTTTAACATTACATAACAATCTATAATATACAGATTAATTTTTGGATAAAAAATTTGAATTAATTAATTAATATTGATAATTTTATTTATGTTAGTAAATAGATAGATAAATTAAATTATTAGCTCCAAACTCTCTCTTATCCTTATTATTTAATAGACATGGATTTTTTTTTTTTGTTTCTTTTAATACACCAAAGGTTTGGTCCAAAGTAGTGGCCACATACAAGACAACTTGATATTTTATAGAATGGACCTTTTGAAGTACTTTAACATTCTGTTGACATTATTTGATTTCAAAAACAACTCCATAAATAGATGTAATTTTACTTTATTTGCAAGCATGATAAATCATTTGCATGATAAATCATTTCTTGATCAAGAACCCAAAACTAGGAAGAGTAGAACATAGGCCTTCAAATCCAAATCGATATTATTCGTATCAGGTACTCTCCCATTGCTTTCAAGACCAACTCATTTCTGGTTGGAATTCAAGTGTTTAATTCCAACCAGAAATGAGTTCATATCAATCAAGAAATGATACAATTCTGAAAGACGCTCAAGGTCGGTCGTAGAAGCCGGATCGCGATCGCCATAATGTATTATTTATTTTATTTTAATGTATTTGATCGTTTATTTTTATTTACATCAGAAACTGCAACTCGGGTTTACTGTCACTCCCACTGAATAGTAAGATTCGTGGATTCG